TATAGGGGGTCTCCAAATTGTCCCTTATTACCAAACACCTTCTAGAACAGTCGTCAGAGGGCACATATTGCAGATATGTGTATTTGTGAATGTTCAACTTCCTTTCTAAAACTCAGCAGACATTCTGAGGACATAGGTAGGAGCTGTCACATGAGTAAGTCAAGTCATGAAAACACCAGCAGCCCTGACACCCCTAGAGGGACAAAGCGCTGTGATTGGTTGTATTGGGAGTGTCTCAGGCCCCTGATGCTAGGCTGACTCCCTGACCCTCAGCTCCTTCAGGCCCGTGCCTGCCTTGTGATGGGGTCTGTGGTTTGTCCCCAGCATTCACGGGACAGCCACCGCATGCCAGGTCCTGTCATAAGCTACTTACATGCATTCGCTCACTCAGTCCCTGCAGCGGCGCTGTGGGGCTGTGTTGTCATAGACATGCGAGGACACTGAGCCCAATGTGGGGATGACTCCTCAGAGGTCCCAGAGCCAGGATGGCAGACCTGGTTGGGAGCCCAGGCACTGGTACTGGCTGCGGTGACCAGGCAAGGGACATACCCACTGGGAACTTGCGTGACACCCTCACAATCAGGATAAAGCCCTGTTTCCTCCCTATGTCTGGGGGTATAGGGGGACTCAGTTGCTACTGTTAAGAGTCAGTCCCTGTATCACGGGAGCATTTTTCGAAAAGACCCCCAGCGAATGACCTACATCGGGCATCTCTTCCAAGCAGGGGTAGCAGAGTCAACAGTGCTGCTGTGCCTCTTCTCCCTGTGATATTTCTGAACGGTTATAAGGAAACACATTCCCCCCCCTCTCTGCCCTCGGTGCATTTACCTGCATTGGAAGGGAGGGGAACGTAAGCTTCATGAGAGAAAAGTCCTTGGCTGTTCTGTTCTCTGCTACGTCCACAGCACCCAGAGCCCAGAATGCACACAGCAGGTGCTTAGTCAGTGCTGAGTAAGGAGAACCCTGGCCACATTAAGCAGAGGTCTCTCCAGAGGCAGGGGTGAAGTGAGGCCTTGTAACGGGGAAAGTCACTCAGACTTTCAGTCCCTCATCACTGGAACCAGAAGGCTGGTCAGGATTGGAAAAGGGAAGAGCTGGGAGCCTGCAGACTGAGGTTCCAGATTTTCCCACTGTTTACCAGCCGTGGGGCCTTCAGCAAATAGCACAACCTCTCCGGGCCTCAACTTTCCTGATCCGTGGAAGGGGCTCATTCAGGGGCACCCGCCAAAGCACCTGATCCTTATCTGTTGCTCAAGTGATGGAGGGCATTCTTATTGACTTGTTGTCACAACCAGGGGACGGAGCGATACTCACCGCTCACGATGACCTGGGTGCCTCGTCCAGACTTAAACTCCACATCCAGAACCCGTTTCCTGAACTTCACACAGTAGTAGGTTCCCGTGTCTGCTGGGGTGATGTTACTGATGCGGATGGAAAAGTCCAGGTTGCTTCGCTTTGTGATGTCTGTAACAGTTGTTACTCGGGGGGAGTGGAGGTATCCGACAGAACTGAAGATTAACTCCCGGCCTGGCCCTGTGCCCCTGAACCACTCGACCTTCCCAATGGGGAGCAGGGAGGTCAGGGTGCAGCGCAGAGTGGCTGTCTCTCCGGCTGCCACAGACACCGACTTCTCGGGCTGGATCACCTGCAGTTCCATCTCATCTGACACACCTGGAGGGAGAACAAGACAGCTACTTACCATCCTTGTGCGATCCTGTCCGTCCGCTCAAGTGTTTATCCACA